CAAATTTTGACTAAAAATGAAAAGAAATATATCAGTTGTGCAATAAAAACCTGATTATATTGTAACTAAATAAATAAAAAAATTAAATATAAATATAAATATAAATCAAAAATTAAAACATGTGGAAAGAAAAGTAAAATAAATCTTAGAAAAAAAAAAAAAAAAGAAAAGATTTAGTCAAAAAGAAGGAAGAAACGCGGCACGCGACACGAGAAAATAGAATCCCCATTATGAATTCAAAGAACGATATGCTGTGGCCATGGTGCATGATAAACACCGTTAAAGGAAAGGTTGAAACGCGACGGTGGCCCTACCAACGAGCACACATACTATCATTCTTTTTTTCCTTTCTTTCTTTCTTTCTTTCTTTCTTTCTTTCTTTCTTTCTTTCTTTCTTTCTTTCTTTCTTTCTTTCTTTCTTTCTTTCTTCCTTCCTTTCTTTCTCTCTCTCTTTCTTTTCCAAGAGAAAGATTACAGGATGTCCGGAGGCGAGAGCCAAGAGGATTCACTCCACGCGCCCTGAAATCCCTTTCCGAACGCTTAAGGGCAATAAAAATTAACAGGTTGCCCGCCCGAATTCGTACGATGAAAGACGAACCGCCGCTTTTTCGATGACGGTGGCGTGTGAATAATACATAATTATCCTATATACTGGCTTATTCAGGTAACTTCGACACTATTAAATAACCTTTTTAATAATACATCTAATGAAAAATTGTTTGATACCACTTCCCTGTCCCCTGCCCCCTCTCCCCCTCCCTCACTGAGGTTTTTGACATCCGTTGTAAGGTCAATGACATGTATTTTATAAAAAAGATTAATAATATCACAAGGTTATATATTAGATATATATTTTATTATTTATATTATGTGTCAGGGATGACTTAATCATTTCAATTTTATTTATTTGACTTTTTATTTTTCTAAATAAAATACAAATCTTTTTAGGATATAGTTAATAGGAAGAATATTATATAACATTAATGTATTATAGCTAAGAATTCTAATCTGTTTTTTTTGTTACGCGAAATTTTCAGATCAATAGTTATTTTTTATTTAATAAATTGTTATATTTTATAGAAGATATTTTTACAAATTCTGTGTACGTTGAAGCTCGTAAAAATTATTACATAATTTAAAGGATTTTTTTACTTGATAGCATAGTTAATATAATGACACTAAATGCATTTAATAAAAGATAAATAATATATAGGGTATGTCAATTAATTTTATAGCTGAAAATATTTTCTTCATTCTTGATATATAACGAGATAAATTTTTACTATTTCTAAAATAGATTATCTGATAATGAAAATAATATTTCTTTAAAGTTAATTTTTTGATGAGAGATCTCAAAGTCAATGATATTCATTTTTAAATAAAATTTTATATTTTATATTAATTTTTAAGGTTTGTACATAGAAGTTTGAAAAAATTATAATAAAATTAAATGTATGGGATTTCAACGAATCATCTTAATACTTGAAGTTATTATTAGTACAAAAAAAAAGTAATCAATGATAGTAAATCATAATAAAATATTCCTCAAAAACCCCTAAACTAAAAAACAAAAATCATAATAATAATCGATTGTAATAATTAAAACCATTATTTATACAAATAAAAAGAAGAAACAATTATTACCAATTATCATCAATTCACCAATTCTTAATAATTCCTTTCCAAACAAGAAAATAAAAAAAACATTCTTAATGAACCCACATGCTAAAGAAAAAATAGAAAAAAAAAAGAATCCACTTATCATAACAATTGATAACCGTTAACACAATCGAAACTGACGATTATTAATCTTTAGTCAAAACAAGATTAATAAACAAAAAATAAAATGACAAAAAGACGAAACAAAAATTGACGCAATAGTGACGTCGAAAAAGGTTATGGGGGAGGAGAATGGAGTGTAATGTTAAAGGAGTTTAAGGATTGAGATAAAGGTAAAGAAGAATAAAAAACCCAAGAAAGAGTAAAGAAAGTTTTAACATCAATTTTTATCTCTTATGAAACATATACCCGCATAAATTACCTTTCAACGCTTAACAGAGTGGAATCGTCGATTTTGTATCGAACGGTTTCATGGTGCACAAGGATATACATCCTTTCAGCAAGAGGAAAGGATACGGTGTGTACAAGGCTGACTGCTCATCTTGCATACCGAGTAGACTACTAGGAATCCTTTCCTTGTATCCTTTGCACGCGCTTCTGCCCAATCCCCCCTTAACCCCACCACCCCCCAACCTACCCCCCAACAACTTCCCGAGCCCTTACTACTTCTTTCGTCCATCCTTTCTTTCTTTCTTTCTTTCTTTCTTTCTTTCTTTCGCGCGTGTAATCTGTCTCTCTCTCTCTTTCTCTTTCTCATACACACTCTCTCTCTCTCTCTCTCACTCTCTTTCTTTCTTTCTTTCTTTCTTATTCTCATGGGTTTCTCTCGTCGTTCGTGCGTAGTTTATCGCAGCCGAGCAATATTCATCGCATTTGAATATCCTGCGGGCGGTATCTCGCGTACCGATCAGGATGTTGCGCCGATGTTGCCATAAATCATAATTAGCTCTGGCTGAAAATTAAAAGTGGAGGAGGAATAAGGTGGAAGTTGAGAGATAGAGGTGGGGGTAAAGTAGAATGCAATGAAAAGAGAAAGATACAGAAAATGAGAATAAAATATAATATAGAGATGATGTTGAAGAAAGAAGGAAATAGTGAAACACTAAAAGCTATTGCAAAGGATATACTACACGACACACACACACACAACGACGACAATGTATAATATTAAAAAGAAAAGAAAAGTAAAAATCAAATAAAAATAATCAGATGAAAGAAATAAGTCAAAAAAGTTAACTAGAAACAAAAAGAAAATGATATAATGGAATATATTATACATATCTATATATATATATATATTTTGTTTCGTGTATCGTCGTATTTTGCTCGTATCCTACATCATAATTTTGATATGTTTATCGAGGATAACGATTAAAGGCGCCGACCAAGCGTAAAGTCATCTTCAATGGAGAACGGAAGGAAACAACCCTTCTACGATTCCGAAGAACGATTACAATCTCGAAGTTGTGTGCGAGCAGCCAATCCATTCCGTCTTGGGTGGTTATACTACGTGACTCTTTAAAGTAAAGGAGAAGAAGGTTAGGTAGGGGGAAGAGATATGGGGGAAAGAAAGGAGGGAATTGCTTTATATCTTCCCGTTCTATGGAGATCCATCTTGCGTTGCACCTGTTATTTATATCTCTCGAGAATTCCTTATTTATTATGGGGAGACTCTATTTCTTATTATTCATATTGAATATATATATATAACAATCGTTATTTTATTGTATTTTTTATAATATATAAAATATTATGTATAATATAATATATAAATAATATTTATATATTAATATATTATGATATTTTTAATATTGAGAAAAATACACACCCTCAACCAAAATAAAAATGTAAAAAAGAAGGATAAGAATCGATTACCTTTTCAGATCGTTTTTTAGTAGGCGTTGTAGTACCGTTAGGTCTGCCATGTTGATCAGTTTCATTAGCCATCCGATCAAAACGTTGCATCCGTTCACGGAAGCTCAATTCTTCACCAGATCCAGGATTAGCAGCAGTGATGATTTCATCTTCCTGTATCGTCAATAATCACCATTGCAACGAATCCTTTTTAGAAAATACTATTGGAATACCCCACACGACTATACCCAACTACAAACCAGCGACAGCAACGATAATGATAATACAATAACAGCGCATAAAATCAACCAAGATGAAATACGACGACATGTTGGATCAAAAAAAAAAGAATAAAAATACACGCACACACACACACACTCGGGAGATCTAAATACAAGGAATCTACGAACAAATTGTACAGAAATCTAATAAGAAAAATAATATAATATAATACATGTGTTAAACCGTCAACGTATCAAGGGTAGGTATTGTATAAAGTACCTAGGCATAATATAAAATGTTTCGTGTTTTTGGGCAAAGTATGAAACAATTAATATTACATACATTTTTTAGGCATTTTATATAAAATGCCTAAATTAAAAATAAAATAATATATTATAAAATAAATCAAAGTATAAAATACTTTAGCTAATGAACGTTTCTAATGTCACTTAAACGATAAATTCCCTATCTGCATTTCAGTTTTAGTTCAGAAGTGACGAAATATGTTACTTTGAATTTGTTTAAAATCTAAAGTCTTAAGGAATAGGTTTCAGTTGCAACGTAATATAGATAAAAAAATTAATTTCTATGAGGGAGTCCTTTTCTATTTATGGAAGGTTTCTATTTCTCTAAGTCCTGTACTTTATTTTGTATTTCTTCCTTTTTCATATACTCCTTTTCAATGTAAACGTTTTTATAAACCTTTTTTAATACTTTGCCTAAATAGCATTTATTATTCTATATAATGTGTAGATATTATATAAAATTTTTGCTTTTCATACATTGCTGGTAACCATAATATGACTCTAGGGAAAGTATATATAATATTAAAATAATTAAGATATTTCATACTTCATTTAAAAACGCAAAGCATTTTATATATTGCCTAGGAATTCTATATAATACTTGTCTTTCATACATTGACGTAACACGTACATAAATAGACGATGATACAGATTTTTATAAATCAAGCTCATGTAATCTATTGCTATGAAATATAATACAATGTAGTTTTGAGAAAACATAGGAATCATTGTAGGAACTTGGATTTTTCTAATCAATGCAATCTAGCTGATGCATTTCAAGCGTACTGTAATGTATCAAAGTATATGCTGGGTAAAAGTTTTTAGATGTTATTTAATCAATAAATAATGTAAAAATTTATAATAATTTATTTGTAAATAATTATTCTCTCTATTTTTGTATTTAATATCTAATTAAATAATAAAGATAGTCAAATATTATATAATAACTTGTTATCGAAACTTTTAGGCTTATCATTTTACAATTTTAAATATAAAATTAGTCTAAATACTTTTTTAAAAAAAGAATAATTAATATTTCAAATCATCTAAACACTTTTGGCCCATTCAAGAATATTTTGCTCATCCTTTGTACAGGAAAAGAACAAAAAATACGTCACAATAATGCGAGTTTACAAAGTTCTACGCCGCAACAGCTTTTGAAATTAATGTGCCATGCTATGTGTAAACACAAACATGAATAAAAAAAACAAAAAAAATTGAAATAAAATAAAATAAAAGAGTTTTGATAAAAACTAAACTACACCATTAAGCGTACACCATGTATAAACTACTATAGTGAATATATATTCGTATAATGAAAAACATAATTAAGTTTATCAATCTGTATAATAAATTATGTTTTCTGCTAACACTTGTGTTCAAATATTTTTTAAACAATTATGTTGTTTTTTTATAAAATTTTCTTTTCGATATATATTTATTATATAACAAATATAATATAATATACTATATATAAAATGGGGTATATGCAAAGTTTAAAAAAATATATAAATTCATAGAATATTTTTTTTATAACGTTTTAATAAAGCATTTAATAACCCACGTTTAAATAACATTTATAGAATATGCTGATAAAATTTTGTGGCGATAAACTAGAGCACCTCTCTCTAATACGATATAAAATCTAAATTATTTATATATTAAAAATCCATTAAAAAAAAATCTACACTATATAAACATACGTTAAATTATATATAAAATTTTAAATAAAATTTGTAAAATGTACAAAAAATTGTATAATAAAATTTAGTTTTACTACGATATAACATATTTCTTTTTTGTGCGATAATAATTGTTGAAGCATTCGATAAGTGTCGAGTTATTTTGGTATATATAATTATATGTACACAGATAAGATAAATAAATACGGCTACATTTATTATAAAAAAAAAAATATGTTAGAAAAACATAAAATTAGCGTGCAAGAAAAGAAAAAAAAAGTGTTAATTAATAAAATTAAACATAAATAACTTACTTTATTAACTCCATCGGTTCCAGTTTTGCTTCTCTCGATATTTTCTTTACTATCCATCCTGATTTTGTCCTGACCTTTACGACGAGGTGGTACGGGGGGTGAAGATGCACTCGATGAAACGGCTTCGTCAGAATGAATTTGTTTTCTCGTTTCTGTGTCACTTTCTAAATTCGTATGCGCGTCGTTATCACGATTTGTTTCTTGAGTATTAATAGAGGTAGGACTTAAGGGTGCAGGTGGGGGTGCTCGATAAGGGGGAGGTTCTCGCTGAGGTGAATTAGGTGATGTATGAGTTGAGTTTATATTCTCGGGATTACAAAGATCCAATGATGCTTGACGATACTTTTTCTTCAACACCAAATATTTTTCACCCTGAAAATAAATTATCTCAATAAGTTTCTAAACAATATTTGACAAGATTAATTATTAAAATTAAAATTCACAATTTCGCATTAATAAAGAAATTTTTAAATTCAAAATTAAATTACTTTTTAGTCCGAACGTAAGAATTCCGAAAGGAAAAGATCTTATTGGAATATTTAAAAATAAACAAATGAGATTCGAAACGTTCCAAACGTTATATCCGAACGAACTAGACGTACTTTTTTCTAGCAAATGAATATATTGAAACTAATGTAAGACTATAAGATAAGGCGTAAAATTTCAAGTTTGTTGATAACGTTCACGGTCGCTCACGTATACGTCATTTCCATAGAAACTTTCGAATTAAACGATATCGCGCGCCAACGACGTTGTTAGTAGAACCGGCAACGTCGCACGAGGCGCAACAAGTCGCTCCTGTCAAGGCGGAAGGAAAAGTGCGATTGGGCGACCTTACCTCCTCGTTCTTTATGGTGGCCAGAGTATTCACGTACTCCTTGAATCGATTTCGTGCTTCCACTGCAAAATTTCAAACCTTCAACATTATTTTCTCTCAAATATTGACAAAAGAAAATCAAAACAATAACACTGAACAAAACTAAGCAAGCAAACAGTAAATAATAATAATGATATAGATATGTATATTACAATGTTACGTATATTTATATTACAATATTTCATATATATATATATATAAATTTTTATTATAATATTATGTTTGAGGTTATCTAATAAGTCCACGTGGTTTTTTTTTCAAGTAAATAAACTGTAAAAAACAGCATGGACTTATTGGTTAACCTAAAATATTTATATTATAATATTTTATATATATATGTTATAATATTATAAATATATATAACTATAATATTATACATATTTAGATTTAAACATTAATTATATCACACATAAAAAATATTTCCTTGAAATCCAAAGGTCTTCAATAATCCAACAAAAACAATGCACGCACACTAATAAACGAACACATGTTACGTATCACACATACATATGTCCATATGAACGAACACATTGTTACGTATACACACACATACGTATCCGTGCACACGGATTGTACGATCACATGGACGTACTCACGCGAGGTCAAACACGATACGACAGACACACGACAAACACTCAATTTGGAAGCACGTAATACCGTTGGAAAACTCACCTCTTGTTTCAGGATCAGTTAAAAATTTCTTGAAATACTTGACAACATCATGATTACGCGCCGTACCACCGTTTTCTAATAGATATTTGCGAATCTCCTCGAGAGACAGTTCACTGGGCGTCGCCATCTTGTTCACTGATTCAAGCCGTCTGGTTAAGGCAGCGCCTCTGTCGGTAAGCTTGAAAGCTTACTACTGTCGGTAAAGCCACTTTCACATGTGTTTATGATTGTATATGTATACATATTATACGTTTAAACGTATGTTGTGTACGAGCGTGTGTCTTTTATAACATGCATTTAGGGTGCAATAAAGTACAAGGAGTGTTCGTATAGCATAGTTTCTGAAAATTGTTGAATGTTTTATTATAAAAAAGTTATTACTTTTTAAAAATAGATTGTAATTTAATATAAAAAATTAAAATATTTTTGTATTATAATGAGAACGAAAAAAAGTAAATTTAATATTTAAATAATTGAATGTTTTAAATATATTACGAAACACACATTAAATAAGTATATGCACATAAAAGCCAATTAACAATGCATTACGAGAAAAAAAAATAATAAAATAAATTTTTAGAATAAACTTTGCTGTATAATATTCATCGTTACTTTATTACACATAAAAAGATAAAATAAAAAATAAAAAAAAGATTAAAAAAACCAGCCTTTACAAGGAACTTTTATAAAAAAAACAACGAAAAAATAAGATTAAATCGTTGAAATATTTTGTAGGATAGATTAATTTTTTAAATTCTTTACTATTCGAATTTCTTTCACGGTGTAATAATATTCGACGAATTTTGATCAACTATAGATGAATTAGCCTGTGGCACTAATGCGAATAACCGCGTTTCGTCGGCATAACGGATTAAACGCGACATTTTATACGATGGTATGCGCATTAAAACGAGAACCTCGAAAACACGACGCGACGCCCCCAAAATCCGTTTAACGTTCACTTTTCACGACGGCTTTACGATCGAGAATCGAAGCACGACACGAACCTTTGAGAGAAAGAAACAAGAAAATCAACAAGAAGATCACCAATCTTATTCAAAGGAAAACCTTTACGCTATATTTACTTTATTATTTATTTACGATCGATAATTTGATTCCCTTCAGATCGTTATATTTGAATTTATAACCTGAAAAGTTTATTTTTGATATTAATAGTTCAAACGTATTAATGTAATTTTACATTTGAAGATTGCAAGATACAATTTATCGTTATACTATTTTTCTACAATAAGAAGAATTTTGAATAATATTTTTATAAAAAGCATTTTTCTATACAAAAATTGTCTACTTAAAAATTCTGGTTTGTAAGATCACGTTGTGGCTTCTCACAAACATAATTTTATATTCTTATTACAATGGCTCGTAATTAAGAAAACGACCTTACTAATCACCGCAGATGTGTAGAAATACATGTAAAATAAGGCGTTAGGGTTGTAGAAGAAGGAACGTGGATGCGTGCAGCACGCACATTGATGTATACATGTGTGCGCGTTCGTCGACAGGAAACAACACGATACCTTTGTAATTAAAGCCACTTTATCGTCGATATTCTAATGAAACGACGAGTAATGATCGACTACCGACTGGCATCGGTGAACCGATCATTGCAACTATTCCTGTATTCCTGCATGATAATACCTGCGCTTCTAATTTTCCCTATTCGTACATCCTGAAATATCTTCTTTCGCTTTAGTGAGTTTAATTAGATTTTACCTGACTTAATTAATATGAAAAAATTATTATATGCAACCTGTGTGAGCCAGTTTCTAGCACGTTGTTTTATTATTTATAAAGAAAAATAATGGCTACAAATGATTTTTACGTATAATAAATTATTTGAATAATTTTTTTTTTGGTTTGCATTAAATTTGTATCATATAAATAATTGTAGATATTACCGTACCATATCTGAATTCATTTGTAAGTTTTATTCTAGGGGAAATATCACTTTGAAAAATATTAGCAAATTTTTTCCCTACGATAAGGCAAACGTTGTTCGCAGTTATCTTTTCTCTCTCATACATGACACACACATAAACACACACACACACACATTCTATATACTCATACACTACTTTCTATCTTTCATCATCGATCTCGAAGTACCGACGATAGATAAACGCTTTGGCATGAAGTGTTGATCGAGTCCTCGACTTTGTGTGCACTAGGACGAGCCGCTTTGTGACGATCCTGGACATGAGACACGCGTACTCCTGGAGTCCTTTTACCACTGAGCATGATAATATGTAATACCTATACATCCCTTTATGTTCTTCCTTCTATCCTTCCATTCTTCCTTTCTTCGACTTTTATTTTATTTCTTAGGTCGTTTCTCGATAATCTTTCGAATCCTTTTGAAGTCTCTTTTAAGTCTAGGTATTAACTGCAGATTACTTTTGACGCTGTGAGAAAGCCAAACACTTTAAGAATGAAGTAAGTACTTTATACCTTTTCTTTTTTTATATTTTTATATTCTCAAAAATTCCTTATTTAATATTTTTATCTCTAACCTTTTTCTATTTTTCCTGTTCGTTTCTCAGAAATGTATAAAGAAATGAGCTTATACGGGTTGAACAGAGCACCTGTGGCTTTGACATTAAAGGGCGCCGTGGTAAACGGTAGTCCTGGATAGATTAAACGAACCGATAGGCTCCTCTCTTCTTCGTTCGTTTCTTTCACCATGGAAAGAAGGATCAAGCATTTTACTCGCGCTTTTAGTTCCCTTCCCCATCCCCTATCTTTTAACTCATAAGGGACCATAACTTTGCCTGAACGAAACGTTTGAAATCAAGAGACCTTTTCCTTTTTTTCTACGTAATTCTATTTCTTTTTTTAGTTAACTGCTAAGAAACTTCTTATTTTGAACAAATATAATATTATGTTGTCTAAAATTATTGGGTTGACCGAAAAGTTTGTGCTGATTTTTGAATATTGTATCGGGGAAAATGTTTCTTCGTATATTATTATGAAATTGTAATATTCATTTTTGTTTATATTTTGTATCAAACTTATTAAATATGGTCTGAAATTATTTTCTTGTCGACGTTCAGTTCTTAAACTATTTTATGATCGCTTATGTACTTGTCTCGTTCAATTTTTTCTAAAATTTCGTTAACCTTTACGATGATTTGTCGAATAGAACATGGTGTTTATTTGAAATGAAAATTTTTAGGTTAAAAACGTTCGAATTAGCTTTGTGTCACGTGTTCCGATACTGGTTTTATATTTATCAAATGTATTTTTTACTTTCGCCCATTTTTAAGACGCGATATGTTTTAATTGATTGTGAGTGTTGTCCGATCCGATGAATTTTATCAGAGTTATACGATTTTAAAGTAATTTATCAAGAAATAACGAAGAAATGTATTCCCCGATCTAATACTTGCAAACAAAATTTACAATTTTTCAACTAACTTAAGTGACTTTTTGAACACTTTATATATTAAGTTGCTAGGAAAACTCGTGTCGGTTTAAATCTCTAAAGATACGATTAATATTTTGTACAAAATCCCAACCTAATCTATAATCGTATAATTGCCCGAAAAGTTTCCGTCGAATTAAAGAAAAAAATTGTATGTTAATTAAAAATATCAATTAGCATGAACTTTACAGATCACCAAATACATATTTTTTTATGTTAATAAGCAACGTTAAATTTTCTTATATTATATTTTATTTTTAGATTAACCCAGTAGTTATAAAAGTATGCTTCGTTCTTCGCAAAATGTTAATAAGTTCTATTTCGTAAGTTTGATGAAATACGAAGAAACATGTTTCCTAACCTATAAAATTAGGCATGAATTTTTCAAACAACCTAATCCTTTTTATTCAAATATATCCAAATATTTTATATTAGATGAAAGAATATATATTCAACTTTTACAAAATACACAATGCTAAGAAAAAATGTTGATTGTGTGTTAAAAAAAAAATACAAAGAGAAAACACCCTTATATTAAATAAAACAATAGAAACTTTTCAAACGAGTAAATAGTATAACGTAAATTATTAAATTTGAAAAATCTTCCTAAAATTAAAATAAATGAAATAAAATCGAAATGACAAGAAATGTGTTAGGGATGAAATCCGAAGAAATCAAATTTATACTCATACAATACTTAAGTACAAAGCCGTGCATTCGATTCGATGATGGACGTTGGCAAAATGTTAGCAACGTCGGTAATCTAACAATAAGAGAAAAGTATTATATACGTGGAATCGTTCTCGAAGAAGCACACGAGTTTTTCAGGTACGATCGGTAAGAAGTAAAACCGACGTTATTGCCGTTTCTCTTCCGGACCTCCCAGTGTCGTTCTAACGAGACCACCAGAGGTACCCGGACTAAAAAGCGGCTAAAGAAGCCCACCAAAGTGCCGTCTTTATACGGCGTATTTTATATCACGATCGTCGATCGTCGTGCGTACAATCGCTCCAATTATGGACGAATATATATAGATCCATACATACATATATATATATTTACTGACAGTGTGTTTCCCAATACAATCAACAATGTCTGTCAATGCTTAGCAAAAGGGTTTTTCATTATACGGAACTGATTACTTTCTAACTCGTGTTAAAAGACTTTATTATCAAATTTATTATTGTGAAATTTGTTAGGAAACGAAAAAACGTTTTTATTCCTTAGGATTTGTAATTAATATGAATAAAGTTTGATTTAAAGTTATGAAGTATAGAATAAAATTAATGAAAGTAAAAATAAAATATTTAGGAATGAAATTTAAGGTTAGGATTAATACTTTATATGCATTATTAACTCATATAACACGTAATAAAAATCTTATAAACTTGAAGATGATTGCTTATTAAACAATCGAATTATGAAGCTGAAAAGTTAGCCATACTGAAGTGTCCAAATATTGTAAATGACAGATAAATCCGATTTCATCAATTTTCCTCTAATAATCTGGAGATTGGCAAATTATTTGAGTACATAATAATGAACACTATAATTTTATGAATATTATCTATAATATTTATGTTATATTTTATTTTTAGGTTAACCCAGTGGTTTCGAAGGTATGCGACGTTATTCGCAAAATGTTTATAATTTGTATTTTCAATTAGAAATTTCTACAAATAAAT